CTGTAGGAAATATCCCCAGCATACCTCCTAAAGCAGTGTCTACATATGTTCTAGCCACACTTTCGGATAAGACCATGTCTATTGCCCCATTCACGGCATGTCCCTTGAGGGGGAGGGGTAGAGCCTTTACAGGTTTGCCACTACTATTTCCAGGCATCAAGAGTTGCCAGATTTCCAAAATTTGCTCACCTCAGCTCCAACAATGGTGGGGTTGATTTGGGTAGGCTCTAATTCCATGCAAACTCTAAATATTGTGGCTGCCCCTTGACGGGAGAAGTAGCGGCTCCACTGGTTACCAGCTGCTACTTCCGAACATTCAGAGGTGCCCAGAAGTGGGAGGATCTGGGTGGATATGTAATCATACCTCACTAGCTTTAAATCCTGTATCCGTAGCGGGTCTGCAGTATAACAACAAATTATATTTTGCTCCACCCCGCTCTTATTTTAATTGTCGGACCACTTGCAAAATGCTTCCGACGGATATGTGCATAATTATAGGTACTTAACTGTGGGCCTACATACACATATATGTGTGTGTGTGATGTATTATTATGAATCACCGCTAAAATATCATGTCTTCTAATTAGTTATTAACTGAATGTTTTGAATTATGCCAGCATTAAGCCTATAATTAATTACAGTAATTATATTTAATCAGAATTAACATTATTTAAGCTTAAAACTAGGCTTTAATTGGCATTTTCAAACATTTTTTAATTATCCGGATAGGTGCCACAGACAAAATTGGGCGATTCTTCTTCACATAGTCGTATTTGGCTAAATTCTTAAATTATGGTACCCAAGTCCCATGAAAATACTTGAAAATACTTCACGTCATTATCATAGCATAAATATATTGTGAATTATGTCAGAATAAAGTCTATACTTACCTATCTCATCCACGTCGAGTAATTTTCTGGCTTCGCCACCTTTAATGGCTGCTTTGGTAATACTTGGGATGAGATCTTTTCAGTATGACCTGCTTTTTTCATGATCTTAAATGGCGTAAAGATGACTGTTTCAAATTTTAGATTGTATTGTTATTAATGAGTGGTTTGGGGTCTGATTTTTAGAGTTATATTATGTGTAAAGTCTCCCTGGGTCTTCATATGAATACTGGTTGCTCTGAGAGGTAGAGCTTCGTGGTGTTATTGGCTGCAGTGCTTGCTCATTAAGTCCGAGAATGTCACCGATGAGGCGCCATAATGATTCAAGGAATTATGATGGATACATTGCATTAATGTTTAAGCCTATAATGTATAAATTAGATATCGTCCTAATTTATATCATTATACTACTCACTGCACCACAGCCAATTATGAGTGAATATTTAAAGCACAGACCAGACATAAGAATTGATAACACGTAAACAACGATGGGTCCAACGGTTAGTAAAAACACAGGCACAACGGTACTTCGTGTACAATGTAGTTTATTCTACTGAATTTAGCACATTGTTTTTATGATTATAACAAATATAACAATATATTTATATGAATAATATATATTATATATACCGATTAAGCCAATATAATATAAATTATATATATATTATATATATATATACTG